CGTGTAATTTTCAGTGTATTTAAATTAATTTTTACTCTGAGTATGTTGTAAAAAAAAAAAAAAATGTCTTATTTGTGATGTGTTTTTTTTTTTCTATTGAAGTTCAACTAGCTCGTCGTGGTCTCGATTTCCTCCGTAAATATCAAAGTTGTGTAAACTTCACACATATTTTTTTTTATTGCACCTTAATTAGTTTTGTTCTGACTGAAGAAAAGTATTGGTCTTGTTAATTCCGAACTAACAATAAGTTGAATTTTTCCTATTAAGCAAAAGACCGTACTTAAAAATTTTCAAATTTTATTCTATTTGTGCTAAAGGTGATATTTTGTAGTCTGCTACTATGGAAAATAGAAGAGGAAAATAAAATATGAAATTATACTAATTAAGAATACAGAACCAATGAGTTTTTATGCTCTCAATATGTGAAACAATCAATTTTTACATATGAACTTTTGCACTAACAGTAGTGATACGCATGTTCAGTATGCATTTGAATTTTTCTTTAATCAAGAATTATCAAATCTGCAATCTGCAAATGCGGAACTTTCGCATTTTAGTATTCACTTATGGACAAAATTCGTGGATATGAAATTAATTTTATTCAGATTTTATATTATGGATATTTTTTAGCCAATGAAAACGGTGAGGAATCTTACTAGTGTTGCCCAAATGCGAGACCGTGACGAGTCTTGGTCTTATAAATTCATTCTTGGTCTAGGTCTTGGTCTTGCGCAAGAGTCTCTCAATAGTCTTTCAGTTACCTATTATCTTAATACTAGAGAGATATTACTGTAATTTGTTAGATAGGAGATACCTAACTAAGTCTGGATTAAAAATTAGAAGAGTTAAAACCAAACAGTATATTGGTTAAGCCTAAGTAGTAGCTAAATTCGTCAAGTATTAGTAACTATTTTGCCCTAATTTTTATTCAAAAAATCGTTTTTTTCTTTACCATTCTTGGTCTTGTTGTTGCAACAGATAGGCGGTGTTAATAGTGGTCTTGCAGAGTGCAAGACAAAGATCAATTTACACTAAATCTTACTTCGGCGACTTTTTTTTAATAATCTAGGTTTACTACAACTTTGACTTATGCTGAGATTTACTTATATATTATATTATATAATGTTATATTATATATAAGAAATAACTATTTACCTCAAATCTCAGGTTTGAAGAACATAAGTACACCTGTTCGCAACTCACAACAAACTGACTAAGGATGATGGAACTAGTTTCCCCATATCCCCACCACACTATCGGAAGTTAAAGCAAATAGGGAAAAAGAAAAAGACTAAATTTTCATGGTTCTACCAAGGATAAGAACAAGGAACGTATTATTTCATGATAATTGGCAACCTCAAAGGATGATATATTTTTTCCATTCTCACTATTATAACTTATAAATATAGATTTAAAATGTTATTTTCCATATTTTATAATAATACAATAAAACTAATACAAGTAATTAGTTTCAATGCCGGGTTATTGCCCTGGAGCGCCGTTCTGAAAGAGGGTATTCGTCAAAAAATACAAAGCGTATGAGAATAATTTATTTTTAGCCTATTGAGAATACAACTGAATTAGAGACATGTTGTATGAAATAAAATTCAAATATCATTTAACCTAAAACAACTTAAGAAATAAAATTAATTTTTGAGAGAGATGACGACATTCTCGGGGGTGTCAAATGTCTAAGACAGGATACTGATTAGTTTTATTAAAACGCCAAAGATATTTCAGCAAATTTAACTAAATAGAACTCTTGCTTTAAATATGTAATCTTATTCCAATTAATGAATTTTAAGTATAAGGGATTTTTAGAAAACTATTGAATATTTTATATCTGTAGATCGGAGGTAAAGAAGACCATGTCCATTTTTGTATTTTTTTGAGAGGAGCCAATTTTCAATAATTTATAATTTTCCATAGTAACACACTGTCCGAACCTGGGCAGTATATTAAAATACAAAATAAAATACATTTTTGTATTTTACAATTCAATAAATAAAATATAAAATGGATAATTGTTGTATAGTTAAGGCGTAAAACCTGTTGGTCATCAACGCCCTTAATTAAAATTATATATTATTGTATCTTATGGTTATGAATAATAAAATTAAAAGACGCAAAATGCAAGTTAACTTTAAAGTTGTTTACGGTTATTAAAGTTTAGTTATTTAAAGCTAGGTTTAAAGTTAGTACGTTAAGTAAAAAAAACGCTGCAAATTATTTCACAATGGTTTATTATTTCTAAACAATTATACATCTAAAGCAACATTACCTTCCTAGTGGCAAAGAAAAAGAAATAAAAAGTGATTCCAAATATTGGGCTAAACTTTTTTTTTTTAATTATTAGTAATATGCTAGAACAATTAGCATTACTTCAGTGTAAGACATTAAAAAACAAAAGCAAAGGATATAACCTTTGCTGTATAACATATAAAACACATCTAGAGACCATATCTTTGCTCCCAATTGTCCGATTTTAACGATTTGTTTTTTTTGGAAATTCCGTAAAATTTTAAATAACCATAGAATATCGACAAAATAGTGTACACTTTTTGAGTTATTCGGAATCTAATTTTACCATCTTTCGTAATTTTTTTTTCCAGCTTCTTTTCGTTGAAGTATGTTATATAGATAAATTTTAGGTACATTCGTCTATAGCAACGCAGGTTTTTTGATAGCCATCTTGAAAGAAAAAGACGGCTAGAAATGTCGATGAAGGAGGATCATCCTCGGGTGAATTTTAATTTTAAATCCAAATTTGAAAAAAAATCGGTCCAGTAGTTTCGGAGAAAATGCGCAGACAGCGGACGCCCAAAAAATTGTTTATTGTTTTTTCGAATTTTACGTATCCTGAAACGTAAAACCTCAAATTTTGAGAGGGGGTTCAGTTTTTTAATTTTTTGTTCCATCACAATGGTTCGTTATTTAAAATAATAAATAAATAAATGAAAAAAATAAAATAAAACAAAAATATTTTTAAAAAAAGATAAAAGGAAAAAAGAGGTGGGGAGTGCTGCGTGTGAGATTCCTTCTTCAGAGAGAAAACATATATGATTTTGCTAGAGATGTTTTCATCATTTCCTAAAGGAGTCAAAGTATTTACTGGTATTACTCTTTTGTTTAATTCTCTAATATAAAAGGGAAAACTCTCGAAGATATGAACCACTGTCATTCTCTCTCCACACTTCCGACAAATGGGGGCGAGTTTTCTTTCGTAATTAAGTGAAGGTGCGTAAGCCAGGTATGACCTATTCTCAGTCCCGTAAGGACAACTTCCTCTCTGCGTTTACTGCGACTGGAACTGCTCCATGGCTTCGCTTCCTTTTTCATCAGCTTTAATTTATTTGGAAGGCTGTTGTCCCACAATGTCACCAATACCTACATGATCAGGAAGAACATATAAAATGTACTAATGTTCCAACGACATTTAGTTTTTTTATAAGTCCCAAAATACTATATATTCCTAGGTGGTCTCGATACATGTTGTTCATGGCTGTAAGAGCGCTAAAAAAAATCTGATTTCCATTTTATTTCCAAGATATTGAAATACAAAAATGTATTATGAATACAAATTATCTAATATAGTAGTATTCCTGTAGTATAGGTTGATCGTCCTATACTTTTTGTAATTAAAATAAAAAATAAAATATATTTTTGTACTTCAATATCCTTATTTACATTTCGGAAAAAAAAACACAAACATCTTTCTGTATTTTGTATTTGAGCTACCTTTTTTGAAAGCAGTTTTGAATAATTTTCAATTAAAATACACTGTATTTTAAAAACAAAATATTTGGTATTTTACATTCTGTATTTAAAAATGATAATTAAAATACTTTTTGCCCAGCTCTGCATGTACCTAGCTTAAATAGATAATTTCACTTTTGCACGTTTTTTAATAGTTTTTGAGTGAGACTGTTCATACACACACACCATTTTGAGGGAATTGGATACTTGAAACAGGTGACCTCAAAACGTCTATTTCAGTTCAGAACTTGGATTGTAAATTTTTCAGTATGGCAATACTTTATCTAGAGAAAGATGTATGTAAAGTAAATATTCCATAATACGTAACTTTTGTTTCAATTTTGATTGAATTGACAAAAAAAAAACTTAATATCTTATAATAATGATTAATTTCTTTATGTACACGTTTTATACCGAATCCATTAGAATAAGTTATGAAGAGAAGAATAGTTGGGATGGTCAGTCAAAAAAGAAGGCAAAAATAAATGATAATATTTATTTTTTACATATGCCGACGTTTCGACCTGAAGTTCAGGCCTTCATCAGGGCTAAGAAAATAACCAGATAACAAGGTATGAGAAACATAAGTAGTGATGGTAAAAAAACTTTTTTGGCTGACCACCCCAACTATTCTCCTCTTCATTATCCACGACAGTCAACCATTTACCAATTTAATTTTTTAATTTATAAATATGAAATTTTAAGCGAATTAAAAAAAAAACTCAATTTCTTATAATAATGATTAATTCATTTATGTTGACATTTTATAAGGAATCTATTAGAATAAGTTATGTTTTTTACTAATTTTTCAATTATAAATATGTACGTTTGTTAAATAATAACAATTAAATTGTAAGTTAATTATTTATCTAACAACTAGAAAGCGCTCTTTCAAGCTAATATATATATTTTGAAAGATTGCACAATACCTACTATTCCTACCTTGCTAAATTTCCGTATAAGTAATAATAAAGTATATATCATCACAGTAAATATAATATTATTGTAGCAAACAGTTATTAATTTTATTAACAGTGCCAGCTGGCCGACAATAACCTTTGGGAGAACCCTACACAAAACAGAGGATATGAAAGATTATAGAGTTAGTCGTATCGGCGACAACGGTTCTTTCTGAGGTCTCTGTCGTTGTTTACGATTGGCTAAAATAAATTAATTTTATTTTGGATTTTAATGTTTATAAAAAATATATATTATGACGTATATCTTTATGTCTTGGTATATAATTTTATTAAATTAAATTTTAAATGAGCTGAACAAAAGATTCAATTTATTATATGTATTCTAATTTTGAGGACTTCACCTTAATAGTAATAATAAAACCACACATTAGATCCAAATTATCCTACTTTATTTGTTTTTTTTACATCAACGTTTCAGCCCTTAGGCCATTATCAAGGTAAGATATCTATTTTCATAATTAAAAATCATTATGGACTGAAATGCCCTTGTCAACTTCATTTAACTGGTCAAAGTCAATGAAGTGTTGGAGTCCTGTTTTTCCCTCCTTAGTTCCTGGTTTGGAATACCCTCGCCTGATTTAATTTACTTATATTTAAGCTGAGATAATTTACTTGTATTTAAGCTATTTTATTTTTATTTATTGTGTATACTTTTTGATTATTGTTTAATTGTTATTTTACTTCTATTTTATTTTATTTATTTATATTTTCTGAATATATGATGTGAATGAACTCTTGTCTCACTATAACAAATTTTTCATGTGACAGAATGTTATATTAATCAAAAAAAAAAATATATATATATTAAGAAGGAGATGAATTTTAAAAACTCAATTTTTTTTTAAATTCTTTAACTTTATAATTTATTTTCAAAAAGCTAAATGCTAAGTAACATGGTAATAAATATCTTTATTATTATTAATATTTATTTATTTATTTTTTTTTTCTTCCAAGAATTTCTATATTATTTTATTTCACTTCTAGTGAAAGTTATATTTCTTTGTTATTATTACAGTTTCTACCTTTGTTATATATACATTATTTTTTTATATATTTATTTATTTTATATAGGATATATATATAGTCTAAGAGCCAATTTGTTTCATTTACACTTAAACATGACTCTTGTCCTGCAGTGTTCTTTAATAATATCGCTCTACCACCTTCAAAAACTGTACGATATTTGGGCCTCTACTTGGACAAACGACTGACATGGACATACCACATAAAACAAAAAAGAAAAGAACTTAATCAGCGATACGGACTTCTTTCTAGGCTACTTGACAGACGTTCTAAATTATCTGTGACTAATAAACTAACTATTTACAAAGTCCTCATTAAACCACTTTCGACATATGGAATCGAACTATGGGGAACAGCAAAGAAATCAAATATAAAAATCATTCCGTCATTCCAGTCAAAAGTCCTTCGGAAAATTGTAGACGCACCCTTTTATGTTTCAAACCTCACGTTACACACTGACCTTAACACTCTTCTCATCACGGTAACTGCCACTGACCGCTTTAATAATTTTCATGACAGACTGACTCTAAATTCCAATCCACTTTTACTCAAGCTCTATCAACTGCCACAAATCCATATAATCCGCCCAGAAGACTGCTGAGGCGCTGGCCAAGAGACTTATTGCATTGAGCTACTTGCTGCATTATTTTTCCTTTTTTTGTGTGTTATCCTGTTAATATGTATGTGTTATCATGTGTTATTTTATTACTATTCTTTTTTTTACTATTCTTTTTTTGTTGGTTTTTTTTTTTTTTTTTTTTTTGTCTTTCTGTTTCTTGTCCTTGATATCATATTTGCTGAATACCAATGTAGATGGCAAATTTATTATGAGCCAGAAATATTTATATCTAATAAATCAGTAAATAAGTATTTATTTTATTTTATTGCATTGTAAATATGGTATGAATGTGCCTTATAGCTCTAATGACTCAGTGCCCTTAAGTGTGATAAAATGTATTAACATAAATTTAAATTTATATTTAATATTTATAAATAAAATTTTTACTTCAAATAAATTCAATAAAAAGATTTAATAAATACCGAGGCTTTATTTTGACCAAAACTTTTACTGAAAATTATGACTTTGTTGAACCACTGATTTTGGGGTTACTAATTTCAAAATATTTAGTTTTATTCATGTCCATTATTGATGTATTATTCATATAATGTTAATGGAATGTTTAATAAGAATAATGTTAGTTTAGTCACAATAAAATTGAATGTACCTAACCTTCATTTATACCTTGCTTAGTAACCGAGAGCCAAGTTAAAGGGGACGGCCTTAAATTTACGGTCAAGGTGTAACTCCTTAATAAGCTTGGCACTTAAGCGGGTAGTACTGATCTCGTTATTTTTGGAATCGAAGTGCTCTTTAGAGAGTTTTTTTTTTTTTTAAAGGTGATCTTATTTCTGTTTCTTAATAGAGCCTTTATACTTTACGCCTTACGCTAATCTATAGTATTTACAATACGTCCGTATAAATTTCTTTTCCGGCTTTCTGACGAGATGGATCTAGCTGAAAGAGGTAAAAAAAGGGAGTTAATCGAATGGGAAAGTAACTAATCCAAATTTCAAAAGGTAAAATCCAACAATAACCACAAAAAAAAAAAATTAAGAGATTTCAAAACTCAGATATCAGGGTTATTCATGCATTGTAGTTTGCCATCATTCTAAGCAGTCAGCATACATTTTGATTGAATAGTGCTATCTGTGCTAAAGTGCTAAAGTGTTATTAGTTATTGTGAATTCTTAAATGATCTACTATAAATCAAAAGCGAAAGCGAAGTGAAAAGACTGAGTTTCTGGATTATTTAATTAAAAATGCCTTTATTAGAAAGCATGAATGAAGATTCAAATGATTCAGAAGGCAAAGAACTTGATGAATAAATAGATTAAATGCTAGCTCTCTTTACATTCCATCTCTGTGGAGATTGTACTCAAACAAAGAATCAAACACCTTGAAAACCTTCTCCGTGCGTTTACGAAGTTGTTTGGCCCGTGCCCGGTAAGTCATGAATGACAGTCAAATTACTGACAAGGATTGCTTCAATCGTGATGACCATCACGCTTATCAATCATACTGACGCATTTTGGCTCAGTTGACGTTCAGATAACAGGCAGTGTGGATATGGTGGATTGTCCATTTATAATAATGTGTTTCATTAAAAAGGATTATTTGGCCATTATCCTTTGTAGAATGGGACATCAAGAGAAAAATGGAGATCCAATACAAGTACTTCCAAGTGTCTGAAAGTCGATTTGACAGAATTTGACAAAGTTATTGGCCCTCTTAACAATTTTCAAAAAACTAATTGAAGATGTTTATAAAAATATAAACAAGAGATATGAAACTATTTGTTTTTAATAAAAATCAAGAATTTAAAATGATTATGAAGTCTAGGTAGACCATGAAATTTCTAACAGAGTTAAAAAGGCCAATGATGTGTATTACAGTTTATGCAATAAAGTCATTGGAAAAAGGGAGATGGAGTTAGAGCTCAGTTTCGAAATGTTCATATTATCGCAATACTTTTTTTTTATTTTATAATTTTTTTCGGGGGGAGGTGTTACAGCATTTTTATATTATTATTTATTGAACACGTCCACTGTACTTTATGTATTTTTTATGTATTAGGTTAGAAAGAGGGAACATGTATAGGGGGAGAGAAGGAAGAGAAGGGGTGCAGAATGATAATAAATCAATGAAAGAAATAGTAAAAATAAAAATAAAAAAAGGGGGAAAAAAAATATATATATATGTATAAAATATTGTATACTATGCTCATACATATTGTTAATCCTATATAATTTTATAATAATTTTAAATAATATCTGTAGTGATTAATAAGTATGCTGTGTTGTTAGCAACCCAATGTAATTGGGCAGCATCATTTTATTTTATTTTATGATAATAAAGTGATTCTCTCTCTCTGCTATATATTGATAAGTGTGTTATAATTTATTATTTATTATAAAAATGTATTATAATTTATTATCAAAAAGAGCTAAATATTAGCTTAAATCGGTATTATAAAAAGGTCATTTACGTTATTCAGTTTTCTCTTAACTCTTAATTATATCTTATTTTATTATTTACATATTTATAAGAATCCTATAATTTATTTTATTATAATTTGTACTTAATTCAGGAAAAGCGATTTATAATAATACCATCTACGTTCTAGGTCGTTCTTGAATTCTTATAAGCACTCAATTTTTAAAACAATAGGTTAAAATACTCACAGAATTATTCTTAATTAATCAGTTTAATTAGATTTTTATTGTTTTCGTTAGAGCTAAAAACTGTTTTATGTTTAATTGCTTCGCTCATTTCACGTAATGGGTCATATTTTCTTATCAAATGAGTAGATAAGCCCGAGGTGTTCTTGTATTCAGGTCAAGTTGTAAAACTATATTACTTTGCCATTCGTATAAGGTGGACACTTATTTCTTATTGTAAATCCAACTTAAAAATATTTTTTTAAAATAAATTATTATCAAATCTGAGTATTATTTTAGAGAGTCGAACATAAAAAATAAATTTTTTAAAAAAATTATATATATATATATATATATATATATATATATATATATATATATATATATATATATATATATATATATGTATATATATATATATATGTATATATAAGACGCCCCATTTAGTCTAATTGACAATAGAATTAAAAATATTAATTCTGATTCAGAAAAATTTCGTAGTAGAATTTAAAAAAAATAAATCGTCAAATACCAAACGGCACCCTCTACCATCTACCGCAGCAATCAATACATTAGGCCTTATTCTGACACGAAATGTGACGCCACAAGCATATTTTAATTTTTTTTTTTTTTTTGCAGTTTATGATCGGTCAAATTTTAAAATATTACAAAAAAAATAAGATAATATCATTAAAACATAATACGATTAGCAAAATTTTTTGATTATAAGAAATAAAGCTTTATAATATATCTTCGGTTAGTTGCAAAATCTCGATCAATAAACTTTTGATAGAGCTCAATTTTTAAGAACGTTTTTTGTCGAAAAAAACACAATAAGTGAATCAAAATGGAACAAAATAATTTATTTATCAAATATAGTGTTAAATGTCCTGATTTCACAAATGGAAAATTCATCATAATGCTTAGTGATTTAACATTATGTGATATGTGACTATTTGCAATGAACCGACGATGTCTTGTAAGTAAGAATTATAATAAAAAAACAAAGCTTATTTTAATGAAGAATTTAATATTTTTTTCTTTATTATTTTCTAAAAGTCTATACTGGTCTATCAGTGCCAATAGCTTTAAGTGTCTTGTCATAATGTTAACTGTTTTTTATATAGTTTCGTTTGTTTTGTATATAGTGTGTTTATCTTATATTTTCTTTACATTATTTCTTTTTTCTATTGAT